AAAATATATTCTGTAACATATCTGTCAATATTTATAATAAAATAAAATATTTAGCTAAAGATAAGATTTTTTGGGGGTATCCTTGGAACTGATAAATCAATTAAGTGCTACAGGCCGGCAAACAACGCCCACAGAACACCTAACCTGACCTGACCTACACTTACTGATGTCACGGCACTGAGAAGGGGGATGAAAGTCGGAGGAAGAAGTGGCAGGGGATGTTCATTAATTATGATTGAAACATTGCAAGTGGTATAGTTACCTAGTTCTCAAGAGGTCACTGTAATAGGATTAATTTTGTTTATTTTGGCCATGAAGAGTTAATTAACCCCTCTCTTTAAGTACTTTTGACTTAACGAGTGGCACTGAGTGTCCCGTACAAAGAGTCGCCCGTAATTGAGGAATGTGATAATGTCAGTGCCTGGACGTAGGCCTACAGGTGCCAATGTTCACAAATAACACTGGCTTTAATCTGGCCCCCACAAAAAGTTTCTTGGTTATTGTGACTTCATGCATTAACCTACAAGACACCGTTTACACTTCTTCACACAATATTAAACTAAGTACCCACTGAGCCTTCCCAACCATCATTTAGGTACAGTCAGCCAAGGATGCACCACCACCCCGGCTCTCGTGCTGGCAACTTTACCTGGCAACACTTGGTAAAGGAAGGTTGTATGTAAAGGTGATTGTGATTGGTGGATCTGTTTTCGGCTGTATCACTGTCAGGATAAATATTAAACAAACCAAAGTTAACATATTTATAATAATAAACTGTTCATTGTTATTAAGGTCATGAAGTTCCAAATGTTTGTATAATTACTTAAATAATGAAGAAAATTATATTAATGAATTGGCAACTCGACTACAACCACAGCTGCCACAAGATTCTCACATCAAATTTTCTTCATTATTTAAACAAATATACAAACATTTGGAAACTTCTCATGACCTTAATAACAATGAACAGTTTATTATTATAAATATGTTAACTTTGGTTTGTTTAATATTTATCCTGACAGTGATACAGCCGAAAACAGATCCACCAATCACAATCACCTTTACATACAGCCTTCCTTTACCAAGTATTGCCAGGTAAAATTGCGAGCACGAGAGCCAGGGTGGAGTCGGTGCATCTTTGGCTGACTGTACCTTGAGTTCTCCCTTAATATGATCTATATACAGACTTTAAGTTTATATGCACGAACACTGGTATAATTAGTACAAAATAGAACATCGTATACGAATCATCCCTTTCGAAGTGTTGATCATTCTGTGGCGTGACACTACGGGAAACTTAGATACTACTTTAAAGATATGATTTTGTTTATGCAGCTGTAATATAAACCCTGAGATTATAGACCAGTACTGACGTGCGCAGTACACACTATGCACTACATTAGAAGGGAATGTAGCCGTTGTCAGCCTAACAAATCCTAAAGTCAATACCCAGACGATCGACCACACCCAGGCTATGGCTATAAAAACGAAATTGTAATGCGTCGCCTCACTTGTGGTTTGACGCGGACACAAGCGGTGGTCTTTCGTTTCCTCAAGTGTGGCTCCTCAGGTGTAGCCAAGCTTCTGGTAAGTAGGAGACTGATGTTAGTACCGGAGAAAATTACTGGGGGAGGTGAAGACCGACTGGAATTCATATTGACTGGCTGTGTGGTTTTTGTAAAGGTGATTTCAAGACCAAGTTAGTCGTGTCTCTGAGTACAGTCGTGGGGTGTCACATGGTGAGATCCTACGTCATAGTCTGTCAGGAAATGTAGCAATCCAAATAAAAAAAAAAATCACATAAGGCATTTAGAAGTACAGTCAGTATACGACTTTGTCATTATCAACAGCTAAGAGAAGAGCTTTGATCTTTATGATTTGTTCAGTGGTGGCTTTTACTGCCGCCCATCACCATCTCGTCACACTCATGGGTTTTATTATAAGTTATGTGATCATCTACGTTAATATCCTTGAATATTGGCGTTTTGGACTTGCTTCTAAGAAATTATCAAAAAACTAATGATGGTCCCAAGTGGATTTTTAAGTGGCTTTTTCTCACAAAGTGTTCTGCAGTGCCAAATTGAGGTGACCATAACAATGACCATACAATATATTCATTGTGGTGAACGCTCTTATCATACGAGTTGCTTAATCCTTTCTGAATGTCACTCATTATCAGCACCATTGAAATATTCACCGTAAATGTCTTCCAACTTTAGATGGAGTTTACTGTTAATTCCTTTTCACGAGTTTAAATAACACTTTATCTTCAGTTGATGTTGTCGAAAAAAAGAAGAAGAATGTCCCTTTAGTTTTACCTTCCAAAATGTATCCGAGCGTGCCACTTGGTCTGTGTGGCTGATGTCAGAGGTTTCATCCACAATTATTCCAAACTTTGATATGATCTGCACCACAACAAAATTAGACATCATTTAATATTTCGTTCTTGTGTGGGTGGTGACGTCCATTGAGTATGTGTCTCAACCCAAATAATCCTTACTAAACCAAACCTAACCCAGGAGGAACCATTAGCACCAGGACGTTTGAGACACTGATGTTTTCTGCTACTGTTTGTATGATAGTTTTGGTTTACAAGACCACAGTGATTTACGATATGATTGTATAGAAAACAGTGATGACTTACGACTACTGTGAGTCTATACAAAAATACTAGATTAAGATGAATATATATTTTTTCTTTTATTCCTTCGACAGTGTAATGAACAAAGGGAGGTGGTGGGTTAATGAAGGGTCAAAGAACAGTACAAAATGATAGATGTCCTAGCTAAGGTTTACCTGGTGAATAGCTAATGAAAAACAGGTAAATATTCTTTCACCTGTGTGTGTGTGTATACCCTTTATAGAAAGGTAGTGTATATTTCAGTGTTCTTTATTCAATGTTTTGCCTTTGTTAAATAAGTCTTTTTATTTGACTTCTTTTACGTGATTTAGTGTTCGTCTCTGTATGATGATAAATATTGCAAATCATGAGTGGGTTGTGGCTGACGGATCAATATCATGATATGTTGAACGCTGCAGCACAAAAGAAACACAACAAGAGTAAGGGTAAATAATTCAAATACAGTGTTACTTCAACAATTCTTTTTTCCATAATGCTTCACTCGGTCTCAGAACGTATCAGATAAGGCACTGAGATGGTGTGGAGGAGGGAGGTGAACGATATGAAGTCACATCCTCTCTTAATTAATGAACAAAGGCCATAGAATTCCTCCCGTTCTGAGCAAGATGGCTAATGAGTCTTTCATGTTTCAAGAAATAATTTTAACAATAGTATTATCAACGTCAATATCATGCTTGACAGTGATAATTTATAATGTTCCTCTTTCACCCCCAAACTATCTGGGCTTTTCTACTATTTAACAAAGTGATAATAAAGGATAATAAAATGTCTACATAAGGGTAATATAACCTTAAGCAAAGCCTCGTCTACCAGCAGGAACAGCAGCGTTGGTGACCAGTGTGATGCCAGGAGGCGGAATGGTGGAGGTGTGGGTGGTGATGGGTGTGTTGTGGGCGGTGCTCACCCCTGCCCTGGCCACCAACAACACGAGGATATACAAGAAAGTCAGCAGCAACGTGCAAATTACCTCAGACATCCTCGCCTCGTACTCATTACCTGAGGTAAAGTATAGTATAGCTTCCTTTTATATCACACGAGAACGTCACAACTACTGCAGATAAAGAAAGATTATTATTAATATTTTCCACACACAACTGAGACTTAACAATACTCTCAACAGACAACTTCTAGCGCCCGTGTACCGTGTGCGTCGAGGTGCAATACACAACACGGCTGCCAGGCCTTCAACCTCGGCCACAACCCCCCACACGAATGTCACCTCCTCAACCTCATCTTCCCAGAGACCAGAGTCCTGGCCCAACCCTTCGACCTTTACGTCTCTACTGACGGTAAGAAAATGATCAGATGTTTAGTGAGTCTTTAGTTCACACTATGCAATATGGTTCTGTCATCGCTGGATGATCGTCATATTCGATTCCAAGTCACAGCAGAGTAATAACAGTAGTAGTAACGTAATAGTCGTAGTAGTGTGTGTGGGTGTGTGTGTTATTTGTTTATTAATTGATTCATTCTTGTTCGGTCGACAGTAACTACAACCATCACCAACGACCAGTACCAGACGTGGGGGTCTTGGAGGTCGTGGACCATGTGTGACGATGGTTCATTCATTCACAAGTGGAAGGTCAAGGTAAACACTTCTACAACCACTACTCTTGTTGACACTGTCGTCTATTCATATATTTGTCAGCACAATAAATGTAATCCCTTCTGTGGTTTAATGGTCAGCACTGCTCACCTCACAAGAGAATGGTACTCGCTTATGATCCTCGGTCAGGGTAAAACTGTGGACAAGTTTCTGTACGTCATTTGTGTTCTTGGCGAATGTTTAGCTAGTGCAGTCGACTCGTTGTCAGGTCTTGTTTGGTTGTTGTTCTGGCGACACCTTATTAGTGTTCACTTCTAAAAACTAACTGCTATTTGATCTCAGTAACTAGACACAAGAACATTTCAAAGTTACTGATAGAACTTGATCATTTTTTTTTTAGGTAAGCAGACTGACTCTTTGTATGTGAATGAAAAATAACTACAATTTATTCCAAATCTTCACCAGTATATACTAATATACAGTCACTTACATAAAACAGCTGAAGCAAGGTGGTATGTCAAGGGCGGGGTGAGTGGGGTGACGTGTTAGCCCCTTCAAGAAGTCACCTGACGAGGAAGGTGAAGCAGATCCGTTCCATTGCTAGACTCACAGGTGAATAGGCGGGGGGGGCAGATGTCCAGCTGTGGATGGATAACTAGTTTTTCCATTAGGGAGAGAAGAAAGTCGAGTGCAGTGTCGGCCACAGGGCCTTCCTGTATTGTAAGCATATGTGTTGGAGTTTAGCTCTTCACAGCCACAGGTAGCTCAATATGGTTAACACTACCACTGTCTCTTACTACTTTGTGGAACATAATGAACAATGGGGTTGATCCAACGGTTTTTCGAACAATTCCATTCAATTTTCAGCCTTAATTACTCTTCTCCTGTAATTTTTCAGTTTGGGTGTTTTCCTGTTTAGTGTGGGTGTATGTACGTAAGTAATAATACAATTTAGTTTCCAATTCCGAGAGAAACGATGTTCTCGACCAAAATAATCACCTCATAGTTTGTGCCGCAATTTTGAAATCTTCCATCGGTTCAAAATCTCTTAAATACGGACTCCTCAAAAACTGATTAAAGATCTTAGGCTACCCAATACTATATCCACAGTCCGAGGAGTATGTCACCCCCACCGCGGACATAGACCATGTGGGTGTGTCAATAATACAAGTGACCTGCATCTACCCCGGAGGCGCCCCAGCCTCCGTCCTCACCCAAGGCGTCACTGACTTCATTCCTGCTGGGACCTGGAGCGGTAAGTGACCTGGTCATCCAGGGTCATTATTAATGTGCCTGTTTCATGTAGTGATTTCCTTGTTTTCAATAATTTAACATTGTTGTATATTACTGTAGGTGTATGTTAGTACGTCACTGTAGCCAAGTGAGGGGAACAGGTCCACCTTTAAACACTGCTGACGCTCCTCTGCCATCATTATATACTTGATGAAACAAACTTCCGTGTCTTCTAAGTAACGATATTTACGCCGCCCTGAGTAATTAAATAGGTTTTAGTTTCCGAGTACAAGTATAATATTACCGACTGAATATTCATTCATCACGGCATTTTGTTACCCACAAGCTTCTAAGTTGCTGTTGAGTAAAGAACCCAAGCATAACTTAGCCCTTGATAAAATACATAACTAACTAACACGAGGATCTCTCAGATTACTTCTATTAATTAAGAAAATTGACATATTTCCGCCATCTATCTGGTTCTTCCTCTTATATACAACAAGTGCAGTAAAACACTTTAACGTGAACAGTACCATGGTCAGTATTAACACACGGATGAGAAATATGGGTATTAACTGAATCTTTATTACTTACCGTTAGTGCTGGAGTGTCCTGGTGGTACCTGGATGAAGGGCTTCACACAGGCAGTAACGCCCTCGCTCGGAGGTGATGTCGATGACGATGCTCTTGCCAACATGAGACTTTACTGTTCCCAGGACTCTGCTGGAAGTGGAGTTGGTGAGTAGTCTTCCATACCTCAATCTATAGAGGAAGTTCCTCCAAAAGAATTTCAGAACAATTTCTGGATGTAACTAGTGTAAAGATCTAAACATTTCTTTATGATACGTTGCCACACTAGACAAATATATAGTTTTATTAATTTGTTTTTATTGAGCACAAACCTACAGTATAACCAGCAGGTTAATATAGCCTTTAAGTTATATACAGTGTTAGGTTCTGGATAATAAGTTCAATATACAGGAGAGAACATAAACACCTGTATAGATTTTGTAGGTTCGATTTACTGGATAAGAGATATGTACACAAAGGGAAGTACCGCTCCTCAGCTTGGCTGCCTGTCAACTGCTATAGACGACGTATGGCAAGTGATACATTAGCAGCTTCCATACGTCGCCAGGCACATTAATTAAGCATGTGGGATATGGTAATTACATTGCCACACGCTGCAGCTAGGCTAAATAAATAATACATAAATGGAGCACATACATAATATACATACATAATATATAATCCAGCATACATAATATACATACACCTCCCTCCCCCCTATACGCTCATAGCAAAGTCTTGAGCGGACCTTTTCTTTTGGATCCGTTCTGAGCGTCGAGGGACTTCATCACTGGGAAGGGTATGGGACTCAACACTGGTGGCGGGGCCAGCAGAAGGCATTGTTACGGGGTGGAGAAAACGGCGGTTCCTCCACCACACACGACCACTGGGTAACCGCACCTGGTAGTCCCGTGACCTACCGAGACCCATGACTACGCCTACTTTGTCCCAACGTAGGGAGGTCGGGTCCTGAACACGGACTTGGGTGCCGACACTCAACCTAGGGAGAGAACGGGCGTGGTCGTTGTAGCGGGCGACGACGTCCTGAACACGTTCGGCGGCTCGGCGATCACAATCCTCTGTCTTGGCCTGCCACTCCTTGGAGAAGGATTGAGGGTGAGCAGGGACACAAGAACGAAGGGGGCGTCCATACAAAACCTGGGCAGGGGAGCGTCCGGTGTAGTTAGGTGTGTTGCGGAGTTCAAGAAGACCCCGGTCGAAGGCCTCGCAGTCAATGTTCCCAGAAGGGGCCACCTTAAGGATGAGGTGCTTCAGGGATTTGACAGCAGCCTCAGCGTGGCCGTTGGACTGCGGGTAATGGGGCGATGACAACACATGCCGGACTCCCCATCGGTCAAGGAACACAGCAAAGTCCCGGCTTGTGAACTGGGGCCCTCCGTCGGTTCGCAGGCGCACAGGAACGCCCACGTCACGGAAGTAGTGGCGGAACTTGCTGATGGTGGCGGCAGACGTCGTGTCATTACCGCACTTGATGACAACCGGCCAACCAGAGAGACGGTCGACGATAACAAGGAAGGACTTTCCTGACACAGAGAAAAAGTCGGCCGACACAGACTCAAAGGGGCGGGTGGGGTTGTCGTCACTCATGAAGGGTTCCTGCTGCTGGCTGGGTTGTAATACTTGGCAGGGCTCACACGCACGGACAACATTGGAGATGTCGGAGTTGATGCCGGGCCAGAACACAGTCTGTCGTGCACGTCGTTTGGTGGCCTCAGCTCCACGGTGACTGTCGTGGAGGCGAGCCAAGGCGTGGGGACGTGATGCAGCAGGGACAACTACACGTGCTCCGTACAGAACAAGGTCTCCGTCGCAGTAGAGTTCATCGCGGAGTTTCCAATACGGGAGCAGGGTGTTGTGAAGATCGTAGCGGTTGCTAGGAAATCCATTCCTCACACACTCGACAAGTCGGACGTAGGAAGGGTCATCTCGGGCCGCTGTTCGAAGGTCCTCCATTGCCTTGTCGTCATCTGGTGACAGGTCCGAACGAAGGGATTGGACGGCATGGAGAGTGACCACAGTCCTGACGGAAAGAGCGAGGTCGGCGTCGAGCACATGGTCTTCTGGAGTAGGGCGGCTGACAGGAGAGCGGGATAAGGCATCAGGGATGCAGAGCTCCTTACCAGCACGCCACACTGCTGTGAAGATGTACGCCGAGAGCTTCTCTTTCAGACGCTGGAGGCGAGGGTTCTCAACGGCGTCTAGCGTGTAGTGGTTGAGGATCGGGACAAGCGGGCGATGGTCGGTCACTAGGTGAAAGTGTTGCAGGCCTATGAGGTAAAACCTGCACTTGGACATCGCCCAAACCACAGCCAACAGCTCCAACTCAATAGTGGCGTAGCGCGTCTCAGTGTCAGAGAGGAAACGCGAGCCACACTGGACGAGCCGGAACTGCCCTCCAACATGATCCTGCAGTAGGGCGTATCCCACGCCATACAAGCGTGAGGCATCTGTCTGCAGAACTGTCGGCAAGGCTGGGTCAAACGTGGCGAGGACAGGTGGACGAGACAGGGCCTGTTTCACTTGCTGGAAGGCCTTGTCATGGTCGGGGGTCCACAGGAATGTCCTCTTGGGGCTCATCAGGGGGCGAAGTGGTTGAGCAGCTGCGGAGATGTCCGACGAAAACTCTGCTAACTGGTTGACGAGACCGATGAAGGACCTCAAGTCGGTGAGGTTAGCAGGGGTGGGAAAATCCGTGATGGCGCAGACCTTTTCCGGGTCGGCTGCGATACCATTCCCTGAGAGGGTGTACCCACAAAAGTCAACTGAAGAGCAAGCCAGAACAAACTTGTCAGCATTTAGGGTAATGCCATGCTTCCGGCACCTGTTGAGTACCTCGTAGATACGGCAGAGGTGATCCATATAATCCTCGTCGTACACGAGTATGTCGTCGACCACTTTCACGCAGTTTGCCAGACCTTGTAGAGCCATATCACCTCGAAGACAGAAAGCGTCTCCTGTAGCGGCGAATCCCATGGGGCCACGGCAATAACTGTAACGTCCATGCGGGGTGATGAAAGTTGTGAGTGGTCGGTCTTCTTCGGCAAGCTCTATCTGCCAGTATCCACACAGGGCGTCCATCGTCGTGAAGAAGCGCGCCTTCGGGTTCACACTGCGTATAGCTGCAAAGGGCGTGGGAGAAGGGTGCGCAGGACGAGACACCTGGCTGTTGAGCTTGGAGAGGTCAGTGGTGATCCGAACACCACCTTTAGGTTTTGCGACGACAACCATAGGGTGACACCATGGAGACGGGTCATCGCCGGTTGGTGCAATAATTTCTTGGGCGACCATGGAGTCCAGCTCGTTTTTGACCGCCTCGCGGAAGGCCAGGGGAACCAGTCGAGGGGTGTAAATAGCGAAGGGCTTCGCGTCGTCCCTCAGGTGGATCCTCATGGGGGGACCTGCCATCTTCTTGAGAGGCTTGGATTCCAGAGCGGACTTGGTCACCAGAACGTCGCTGAATTCCTTCAGGAAGTACTTCCGAGCATCCGAAGGAGAGGTGTCACTGGCAAGAGGCAGGGGTAGGGCGGCAGCAGGGTCGTTGCTGCTCCCTTTTTGCACCCTGTTGGCGTGTTTTACCTCAAGAATAGGTTTGGGGAAGTCCTGGGAGATGATGGCCAACTCTTGACAATGTCTGTAGGACAGCAAAGGAGTCGGGACACCGTTATGCACATCAATCCAGGCTTGACACAACCTGTTGCCAAAGGTGACTTGTGCTTGGAGTGAACCCAGGGCCGGGGTCATCTGTGAACCATCTGCCATAAAGCGGAGATCCTTGGGGGGCGGTCCTAGATCACTTGGAGAGAGCCCCAAGCATTGCAAATGCTGGGGACCGATGACTGTAGCATCAGCGCCGGTGTCGGGCAACATCTGAAGACGGGATGACACACTGCGGTAGGTCACAATGACACTGATGTACTGGGGGACTTTGGTCCTGGGACGCGGGGGGGAGCACACATTCCTAATATGGCTCGAGCGTTGTCCAGGGTCGTCATGCTTCTGATTGGAAGACTGTGGGCGGCCCTCTCTGGTGGAAGGGAGCTGAAGCTTCCGCCGACGCTGTCCCTTGGGTTTGTTGGAAGGGCAACACTTGTCATAGTGGCCCAGACGACCGCACACATTGCACTGGACGCGTTTGGCTGGGCACCGTACTGTGAGTGACCAGTGGCCCTTACGGTCACAACTGTTGCAGGTAGACTGAGCAGCTGGACACGCCTGTGTTCCGTGCTGCTTACCACAGTTGTTGCAAAATGAACCGGGCGTGGACGTGGTGGGCGAAGGCGTAGGAGCAGACTTCTTGTCCTTCTTGTACCGGGACACAGCGCATACAGCTGTAGGGGGAGCTCGGATGGCAGAGGTGGCACACCTGGCAGCCTCATAGGAGCGACATATCATCAACACATCCTTGAGAGAAGAGGAAGAGTCGAGGGAGGTGAGGCGTTGGACAAGTTCCTCGTCCTTAACACCCATCAGGATCACCTGCTTCAACTGGGTCTCCTCGCACTGCTGGTGGTGGCCTAGACATATATCTACCTCTTCCGAGGCTCTCTTAAGACGTACATAAAAAGCGTCAAAAGACTCACCCTCCATCTGTCTGCAGCTAAACAATTCCCTCCTGCGCAGAGCTTCATTCTGCTGTCCTTTGATGTGCCGTTGTAGAATGTCCAGTACCTCCTCTACAGACAACGAAGAGGTCGGAGGTACCTGCAACATATGTTCCAAGACACGCTGAATTTCCAAGGACAGGCACATACGCAGCTGGATGAGTTGTTTAGGCTGTGACAAACTCTGGAGGTCCACCATTGTAGAATAATCAGTCCACCGTCGCCGCCATTCACGAAAAGTCTGGAAAGTCACATCAGGCTTCAAGATGGGCGGTGTTTGAGCAGCTGCTTTAGGTGGGGCTGGGGGGCGTGAAGGAAGCATTGATGAGGTATCTGAACCAGTCAGTACCGAGGCAGTGTTAGAGCCAGGGGCTTGGTTAACAGTGAGGCGAGATATCAAAGCTTCAAACCGTGCACTGTCTTCCAATCTCCGTTGGTGGTCTCTCTCTGCCTCTGCTTGCCTTCTGTGTTCATCCGCCACACGTCTGTTAGCTTCATCCTCGCGCCTTTCATCTCTCATAAACTTCATTAAAGCAATTATCTCTGGAGACAACGCTGAATATCGAGGTGAAGGGCTGCGCGATGTTGTGGGAGCTGGAGCGTCGTGGTCGGCCATGTCATCCATCTCTGCGGGGCTATCATCCGCCTGACTCATCCAGACGCTGGGTCCACGGCTACGTAAGGCATGAGACATAACTACTTCATCTGTGTACTGTGTCTTAAATCAGTGTTGACCGGTCAGCCCGTCGTATCAACAAGATTTCAGACAAAAAAAAATTAATTAAATACACAGATAAGTAGGTTATATATATAAAATATATATAAGGGAGCCGCGCGGTCAGTGAGTGTTAGTACATGTATGTGTGTGTGTGCCAGGCGGGCGGGAGCGTCTTGCCGGGAGGGAGAGGAGGGAGAGGCAGCGACTCGCAGTCAGTCGCCAGTCACCCTCTGTACGTGGTCAGAGGAGGGTGCACTGAACTCTACTCCCCACAAATGCCCAGAACATGCCGTATACCTTGGGAATCCTTTAGAACAAGGTCACACATGAATGGCACGAAACACACAATGCACTAAACACTTCACAGAAAATCACTGTCACTGACACTGCTCAAAGCTGCTAAATTCCTCGAGGAGGGATGGCGGGCGGCGGTTGGTTGACACAGGGAAGGAGTCCATAAGCCGGCTTTCCACAAACTTTGCACTGTCACTCGTAATTATCCAGTAAGTACGCACTGCGCCATGTTATGTTCTGGGTAATAAGTTCAATATACAGGAGAGAACATAAACACCTGTATAAATTTTGTAGGTTCGATTTACTGGATAAGAGATATGTACACAAAGGGAAGTACCGCTCCTCTGCTTGGCTGCCTGTCAACTGCTATAGACGACGTATGGCAAGTGATACATTAGCAGCTTCCATACGTCGCCAGGCACATTAATTAAGCATGTGGGATATGGTAATTACATTGCCACACGCTGCTAGCTAGGCTGAATAAATAATACATAAATGGAGCACGTACATAATATACATACATAATATATAATCCAGCATACATAATATACATACATACAGTATTTAATTTTCTACACCCTCAGGGACTGAATTAACAGTGAACAGCGATTCGCGAAACCCGTGGGGTACACCCTCACTCTGCCCCGAGGGATTTGTTGGGTGCGGCCTACGGGCGAAGGTGGAACCTAAACATGAAATTGACAACAGCGCCATCAGCACCGTCCCCTTCAAGTGCTGCCTCTTCACTGCCTAAACACCTGAAGTTTGCATAAATCCAGCAGCAATTTATTATGCTATTTTTTTCTTTCTTTTCATTTAGAGGAAAAGGATATCATTTATGAACCTGTCCAATTTTGTGAAATTTATCCATCTATTCCTGAATTGGTGTTGTGGAAACGCTTATGAACTCTTGTCACCGTCTTCTGTAGTTCAACTATTGTAGGTCATACTCTGTATCGTGTAGTGGTTCCTTATAAGACTCAGGTCTGTAATTTCCGATTCATAATTTGGATTCATGCAAACATCCTGGTAGCTTTCCATTTCTCCGATAGGTTGTTAGATCTGAATGACTAGCCTAATTGAACATTATTAAGGATCTATACTTGGAGTTATATCAACCTTAATCTTCAATGTCTGACAACTTCTCTAATGTTGGCGTGGTTTAGTAGTTAATGGGTTTCATCTGTTGTGTGGAGCTTGGAGGCGGGTCTGGAGTGCTCGGTTGTTTGCAGAATAATATGTAGCGTAAAAAAAAACTGTCTGGAATGTTCTTAAATACTTTTCGTAGGGGATTTATTATAGTAGTTTTAGTTAATTTCATGTTTAAACTAAAATACTTGTAATAGAGAGACCAATTGATGAGCTATGTGTTTGCCCAAGACCACGCCCCTGTCGCCAAACGTCACGTCATGTTAGGACCAATGACACGTCGACCATAGCTGATGTGGTTTTGTGAGAGTCGCTAGGATAATCAGTTTCGGCCTGGCTGCTGCTGAGTTAAGTAACTATCTCTCTCTCGTTAGGTTGTCACTTAGTTATATGTGCGATATTTACTTACTAGACAGCTAGACTGAATGTATTTGACCACTTACAATATTTTTATGTGTGTGTTTAGATATACCGTGTGTGTGTGGGGGGGGGGAGGGAGGTGCAATAATAACTATTTAATTTGTAGTTTTAAAGTTTGCTGCTTAGTTACTATTGTTCAAGGTATACTGTGCTTATCTATTGTCATTAACATTACTTTCACCTGTACATAATTGATTTTCCTGGTGTTTTTAAATATCATGAAGGTTAACTTGAACTGGTGAACTGCAACCTAAATTAATCCCGATCTGTTGTTTTTGCTTTACGTATTATAGTAATAAAATATGTCCAACTTAAACAGTCACACTTCTCTTTTCTTTAAGTATTTTAGTCTCTTTTGCTGGGTTAGGTTAGGTTAAGTCAGGTGTCCAGGTGCCAGTTATATTATGTGCATCAGTGTGTTTTTCTTAGCAATAGCAGATATTCCGTTTCCTATGTATTAAGTCAATTTAGGTGACCAAGACTATTGACGTATTACCCCATTATGTTAAATAGCTGTATTTATTTTTATGTACAGTGTCTTCGAACTTTATCTACTGTAGGTAGGAACAGTTTATTTCGATGTTCATCACACCATAAAATTGGTAGCAAAGACTTGTAATAAACTTATAAAGAAGAACAGGTACATTATTATAACAAGACTAAAATAAAATGTAAATTAAGTTTCATCAGTCTCGCAATACACAAATTAAAAAAAAGATAATCAAGTACTGTATTTACACGACTAGAACATATCAAACACGCTCACCTTAAGAAAAAATCCTATGCCATACACAGGCTGACCGTTTCCATAGTCAATAGACCGCCCATAAATACATAAGAAAATAATATACAGTTCGGAAACGCCGCCTCTGTCCTCTCCTTCCCATAATTAAAAAAAAAATGTGGCAAACGGAACCCTCGCCACGAATAACTGCTAATACCACACCTATCTATTCCTAGCCTTAATCCTTCCCCCTTGCCTTCTACAACCAACTTCTCCTCACCCCATCTGTGTATTATGGCGCAAGAATGTAAGATCATGTGCAGGCACGATCGAGATTGTCGAGCTCTGTTCACATATAGTTTAGTTACCCAAAACATTTTTCATTTTCTTAATTAGCTTAAGTATAAGAAAACGTTTATTACAGACTATAGTAAACAATTAACAGTACTGTGTTAACATGTCATTACCAGTTACTTCTACAGAATCTAAAGTTAGACATTTACTGAAAGCACACTTTACCAGTTATGGTAATTGTTGAATAATGTTATGTTCGCCGAATATAATTGTTTAAGAAGATATTCATTTCGGTATAAGAGTTGAAACTTAGACGATGGTCACTCTGGAGACCCTAGCTGGCCTTTGTCAGCTGCCGTCACAGAAACTGCCTCCTTTTTTCCTTTAAAAAGGATGAACATTCAGTACTTAAGGGCTAAACAGTAGAACAAATATACGTAAAATTTTTATTAATGAGATGTAGACGCGGCTCTTAGACAGTCTTCCTGGTATGCTTGAATCATCCATACCTTCATAATTATCCAAGAATAAATCCTACGATGATGCTTCAAAAGATTAGTAGAAATAAATGACAAAATATCGATTACTATTCTCATGGCTTTCCTAGCTTCTCTAACTTTAATTGTTCAGTTTGTTAGTCGAGAGGTTCCCCCAAGTCTGATTTAGCAGCTTGAGAAGGAAAAGATAAGAATGCATAAACGAGATGAAAGACCCACTTCAGGTAATCAGTGGGGAGACAGACACTGAAGATCTCCAAAAAAGAAACTGCAATTATTTAATAGTTGGCGAAAGGAAATATTCTGTACCAACAAAACTTTAATGCAACAACACTCAAGACAGTTATAGACAAAATAAATGAACATTGATACAGTAGGAGTGACAATTAGAGTTTAGCTCCAGACAGAGTAGACGAAAGCTATCAGATAAGTAGGGACTGTATATGACTCCTTAAACAATCACCAGGGATCTAGATAACAAGACAAAGATTCTAGACATTTGAGTAAGATAAGGTATAGGCCGAGTCAAGTTAGGAACCTAAATAACGAGAACCAATACACACTGCAACGTTAACTTATCACTCGGAAGACCACAGCAGTAAGGTAACACAGAATGTACAGTACGTGTCTCCACTATATCAGCTGAAAGTTATGTTGGCAGCAATAAAGACATCACATAACTTCTAACTTTATTTCTAACATTGTACAGTACTTCTCCAATATTTAGAACTATACTCACGACGAACATAATTAGATAAAACAGCTTCGGAGGGGAACAGCCCCGAGAAGCTCACAGAGAAAAATGCCTGAAGGTTCCTATACTTCACGGGTATATATTGTACGTCCAGGGAATTCCGGGCAATTTCACGGCAGGGTGACTTCATTAGCTACAGTCAGTCCCAGCTGACATTCTGTCTCCCGATTAATGTAAAATCAATGTATATAACAAACCACAACCGACTTTCCATGACCGATGCAGTTGTTTTCCAGTAGTTCCCTGCAGAGGAGGAGCGGCTGCCTGACCTATATAAACCGTCTCAACACATTGATGTATAAAAGAAAGTTACATATAAAAACAGAAATAAGTAACACTACACTATTGATCATTTTAAGAAGTCTTTTTCCCACATATGCAGCTCGGAAGAGTGTCGCAGATAGAGAATGGTGTAGGCTACTTGTGACGAAGGCTATGTACTACTGTAGATCCACGTGAAAAAAGTAATATACAATATTTATATGATGAGCGTGTGCGTGAAAGAGAGAGTTATTTATATGCAGTCTAACTTTTACTGCGAAAAAGAAGTCTTATTGGACAAAGAAAATATACAGTAACAAAAACAAAAATAAAAAGTATTCAGTGTTTTTATCCGGGTTATTTGATGTATTTACCTTCATATTTATTGTCGAGAGAAAGTTCTTATATTTTTATTTGAATACAAGCAGGCTATTGGCACGAAACATATGCATTTAACTTATATATGAAAATTACTTTAAATATTATGAAATAAATTATGCGGTACAAGTAAAAATCGGTACATTGATACTTAATTAATTTATTAAATAGATTATCTGTTAAATGCTCACCTGTGGATTTATTACAGAGAAAATGATAATTAATTCCTTACCTGAAGAATAGATTATAGCCTTCCAAGGATTATATGTATTTTAGTTCTCTATGATTTCTCTTCTTTCGAAATTCTAAGTCCCTCTGTCTCGCCATGCTTGGTGTTGTTAGTTTAGTTTGGGGTGTAATGAGCCAATTTGTCGACGGCCAGTGAAACAAAGCAGTGAGTTCAGCTTTATTCAGTAAGATTGTTATACAAGTACACTTTACATTGATTTAGCATGCATATAGACTAGACTAAGCAGGTACACAATAAACGTACACAGTGTAAGTATACGAAAACTATATACCTTGATAGTGCTGGTAACTACACAATGGTGAGCAATAAGGAAATTCAACCAAGAATACCTGGTAGTTAATAAAGTTAGCAGTAACCTCTTATCTTTCTCAATAGTAAATATTTTACTTAAATACGAATATATTTCCATTTTAAACATTTGTTTCATTTCTATTTTTATTCACAGTTTTACTCAGAGAAAAAAACCCAGAAGTATCTTATAAGTTTTCAAATAGACAAAGAGAGTTGCTCGTATAGATATGGTGTCCACCAGACTGAGACACAAACCCATATAACATAACATAACTATTGTCCAAATCTTATTAAATCTAACCTAACAGTTTTATAACATTTTTGGAAAAGGTAGGTAGGTGAGGTGGACTAAGTTTGGTTAATGTCCTCTAATAATTAGAGGAAATGAACCAATTAGATAAACATTCTCATATCAATTAGAGTAATTGATACGAGAATATTAATCTATAATTCACTGGGTAAGTACAGAGAAATACCACAAAATGAGACAACTGCAGTGTTGAGGACATACTGTGGAAGTAAGCACAGTGGTTTTAGAGAAAGGTGACACACACACACAACGAACTAAGAGGGACTTGACAATCTTTCATGAATCATTTCCTAAGTTGTTGAATTCATTATAAGGAACCAAACTGTGAGTCACAGGATGGACACCAGCCTGGTCACTAACAAACAATATGGTTCCCAAAGTGATAAAAATAATGTAAAACAACACCTGCTCCTGTTAGGGGAACACCCTGGTGGGCAAGATGACTTTCGATTTGGTCTGTGATCCAACACGGGCCAGTACAGTGACTCGCTAACCAGTACACTATCGTGGCTGTATCTTACAGAGAGTATGACCTACAATAGTTACACTATAGGAGAAGGTGACAGAATTCATAAATATTTCCAAAAACACCAATTCAGGAATAGATGGATAAATTTCACAATGTTGGACAGGTTCATATATGATATCATTCTAATAAAAATAATGGAAAATACTGCATACAAAGATTCAAGTGAAGAGGCAGCACTTGAAGTGGACGTCGTTGATGCCGGTATTGTCAGCATTATTTCGTTCCACCTTCGCCCGTAGGCCGCACCCAACAAATCCCTCGGGGCAGAGTGAGGGTGTACCCCACGGGTTCCGCGAATCGCTGTTCACTGTTAGTTCAGTCCCTGAGGGTGTAGAAAATTACATACTGTATATAACTTAAAGGCTATATTAACCTGCTGGTTTGGTTTGTGCTCAATAAAAACAATAACAAATTGTGTATTCTGTTTAGTGCGCCATTGTACCCTAAAGAATTATTTCGATCTGTACACATGTTACATGGAAGACTACTCACCAACTCCACTTCCAGCAGAGTCCTGGGAACAGTAAAGTCTCATGTTGGCAAGAGCATCGTCATCACCACCTCCGAGCGAGGGCGTTACTGCCTGTGTGAAGCCCTTCATCCAGGTACCACCAGGACACTCCAGCACTAACGGTAAGTAATAAAGATTCAGTTAATACCCATATTTCTCATCCGTGTGTTAATACTGACCATGGTACTGTTCACGTTAAAGTGTTTTACTGCACTTGTTGTATATAAGAGGAAGAACCAGTGGCGGAAATATGTCAATTTTCTTAATTAATAGAAGTAATCTGAGAGATCCTCGTGTTAGTTAGTTATGTATTTTATCAAGGGCTAAGTTATGCTTGGGTACTTTACTCAACAGCAACTTAGAAGCTTTTGGGTAACAAAATGCCGTGATAAATGAATATTCAGTCTGTAATATTATACTTGTACTCGGAAACTAAAACCTATTTAATTACTCAGGGCGGCGTAAATATCGTTACTTAGAAGACACGGAAGTTTGTTTCATCAAGTATATAATGATGACAGAGGAGCGTCAGCAGTGTTTAAAGGTGGACCTGTTCCCCTCACTTGGCTACAGTGACGTACTAACATACACCTACAGTAATATACAACAATGTTAAATTATTGAAAACAAGGAAATCACTACATGAAACAGGCACATTAATAATGACCCTGGATGACCAGGTCACTTACCGCTCCAGGTCCCAGCAGGAATGAAGTCAGTGACGCCTTGGGTGAGGACGGAGGCTGGGGCGCCTCCGGGGTAGATGCAGGTCACTTGTATTATTGACACACCCACATGGTCTTTGTCCGCGGTGGGGGTGACATACTCCTCGGACTATAGATATAGTTTTGGGTTAATACCGAAATTCAGATTTTTATTTATTTTTTTACTTGGAATAGCCTACCGGGGCACAGGTCATCGACCCACAACGGGGCCTGTGGGGCGAAAAATTGAGTCAAAAAACAAATAAGTAAATCTTAAAAGAGAAAAAGAATATGTTAATCTACACCACGAAGATTCCGGAAAACCAGTTTTTTTGAAATGTGACAGATTGTATGAGTATGGAAACACAGAAGAAGGCAGAGCATTCCACAGTTTGGCTGTGTGAGGTAAGAAGGATGTACAGTCTCGTTCAAGATTCTTCGAACACTGCTCGAGACAGCTGGCAACCCAAGGCCGTTTGTTTACTATAGATAAGTAGTAAAAATTATGAATAAATGTAAAGGTGATTGGTGATTGGTTACTTAGTTCCCCGTTGCTTAATTTAATGGTCGGGCTTTGTTGTTTCGTATTATATTATACCTGTATTCCGTACTATAGTAAACAAACGGCCTTGAGTTGCCAGCTGTCTCCAGCAGTGTTCGAAGAATCTTGAACGAGACTGTACTATAACGGGTTATTCTTGTGTGACCGATATCCACACAGAAATGGTGGGCACCGCGGGCAAGACGAGTGTTACGAGCTCACGGCCTTGTCGGTGGTACACAGGATGCCAAATCCACCGAACATTGCCCGTTAAAGTACCTGTGAAAGAGAGAGAGAGTGAAGCAACATTGTGGCGAAGAGAAAGGGGAGAGAGATTATCAACTAAAGGAGGAGAGTTAATAAGACGAAATGCCTTTGATTCCACCCTATCTAATAGTTGGACAGAATAAGAGCCACCCCAGATATGAGAGCAGTACTTCAAGTTAGGACGAATTAATCCCTTATATACTTAAAGCAACTGCTCAGGAGTGAAGTAGCTACGGCATCTGTACAGCTTTCGGAAGGCAGCTTTAGCAATGTTGTGGACGTGTGGCTTCCATGACATATCAGAGGAAACGGTGAGGCCTAGCATATCTATTTTAGAATTTGGCAGAATGATAGCGTCCTGAAATATGATTGGTGGGAGATCTGTGTCTGAAAAGGGAGATCATGCTGGTAGTAATGGTGTAAACTACAGTGAACTATGACCCTGACGCACTAAAACCAGGTAATGAATGTCAAAATTGGTTCCTTATGCGAATACAACATCCTGCACTTTAAAAACACTTTCTTACACAAGTAAACAATGTGGCCGACACTGCACTCGACTGCCTTCACTTTCCCAATGCCAAAGTTAGTTATCCATTCACCGCCAGATGTTTAGTCACCAATAACCTGTTTGAGCCCCCACACCGAACGCCCTGTATGGATCCAAACCCCAATGTAGTGGAACTGGAACGTACCTTTTTCACCTTTCTTGTCAGACGACTACATGATGAGACTAGCACGTCACCTCACTCACCCAACGCCTTGTTGAAGCTGTTTTATCGAAGTGGCTGTATGTAAGTATGGTTATTTTATTCCACCTCCAAAAAGTCAGTCTGCTTACTTAAATTCTCATATGTTATCCTTCTGAACCCGTACGTCGCCGCAAGATATTACAGTGACATTCCAACACCGTCCAAAAAACGTTGCAGAAATCTGCTCATATCGTGAAAAACTTGTGTAAATCATAACAATTTTACTCACTTACTCTGTTGAGCGTCACCTTCGTTTATCACCGAGAGAACTGCTTTGTATTGTACAGTACACTCGGCATCACTGAATGATCTACTTTAGGCCACATTATAAAGGTATATTGCAGTGATCACAGAGGCACTTGTTATGTATATATTATTATCGTATATCATCAAGTCTATGTAATTGTTATTGTTAGGATTTGGTAAGCAAAACACACACACGCTACTACTACTACTTTGCTGTCACTCGGAATCGAGTAGGACGATCATCCAGCTATGATACATTGATACGAGTTATTAAAGGTGTCCCCTTCATTGGTGAGTTTTGAGGTGACTAAAGAGGCCGATACGGGACCGACAGGGTCGATCACAGAAGTTGCACATGTGGGGGACTACATCGAATGCGGGAGGGGCGGCGGCGGCGTCTTTCCGGCGTTGGCACTTGTCTGCCTCGTTATGCAGTCGGGCGAACTCCAAAGTATTGACACCTTCTTGTGTGGTACTCCTCCAAGCGTTACGGTGTGGAATAATCGTCTCCTATGTGAGGGGGTCTATTTGGCACTTTTTCAGGTTTGTCTTAAGACTATTATTATACCTTTTCAGTTGTCCGCCAGCATTGCGTTTACTATTCGTTAAGTGACTGTAACGTAGCTGCTCTGGCAGTCTACTGTCGTCCATGCGGGTAACATGGCCAGTCCAACGTAGTTGTTCGTGGATAATGGTAGCCTCGATGCTCCTACAGTTGGTGTCATCAAGAAAACTGGCATTAAATTTGTTCTCTTGTCTTCCCAGTGAACACGGAGGATGAAACGTAGACTACGTTGGTGAAAGTTTTCAAGTGCCTTGATGTGCCTCCTGCGTGTGACCCATGTCTCGCTGCCATATAGCAGGGTGGGAAGGACCACAGCTCGACATACTTGTATCTTTGTAGATAATTTCAGCTCCCTACAGCTGAAGACACGATTTCGGAGTCTGCCAAAGGCTTGGGATGCACATCTGATCCGATGTTGAATCTCTTCATCGATGTCCGCGGTGGTGGGCAGGCGGGAGCCAAGACACCGAAAATGGGTACCATTAGTGAGAGTAGTACCGTTAAGCTGCATGAATGGTGGAGGTGTGGCTGAACCAGGGGCAGGTTGAAAGAGAATCTGAGTCATACATACATTCACCTCAAAGCAGAAGTGTGCATACGCATCTGCATAGGTGTTCAGGATCTCCTGTAGGTCGCGTTCAGTGTGAGCGACAAGGGTGAGGTCGTTTGCATACTGAAGTTCAGTAATGGAAGCTGCCGACATCTTTGTTCTTGCCTGGAGTCGTCTTATGTTGAAAGGGCCCTTCATCCGGGAGGGAGAGAGTGAATCTAAGGGAATTAGTGCATGAGAAACAGGGAAACTCGCGGGCTTATGACGTTACTTTTTATATACATGACGTTAATGACTGATAGATGGAGCTTTCTGTTACTAGAGCCACGGATAAAATTTAGAGGGAGGAGGAGGAGGACGCCGGGAAGGGGGGCCAGTGTGTCGACAATGATTATCCCGTCAAAATATGAGGGCGAGGTGTAACGTTATGTATCGCCACATAATGCTGAGGGTCATAATAGGCCCGAGGGCGTAGACGTGAATGAGTGGACGACAGTGTCAACAAGAGTGATGGTCTTAGAAGTGTTTACCTTGACCTTCCACTTGTGAATGAATGAACCATCGTCACACATGGTCCACGACCTCCAAGACCCCCACTTCTGGTACTGATCGTTGGTGATGGTTGTAGTTACTGTGGAAAAAAACAACAACATCATTTCTCAACCACACTCTTTTATTCTACAATGTTCTTATTGGATATTTAATTATGGAGGAACATTCAACATATCCTCTACAACATGGCTTCCCGTTATGATATACAGCATAATAATGTGACTTTATATTTAGGTGTAAGGAAGCAATGGTTCCCGCAGCTCATCTCGTGCTCGGCTCCCTGTGTTACCTGCAGGTACAATGGGCCGCCTCCCACCGCCACCCGAAATATCCTTATTAATATTGAAACAGTTTATTTAGCCAGAAGAACACAGATACAGAGTCGATTAAAAGAATAACAATATTATCATGGCTGAGCCAGTTGAGAGCCAGAGCTCTCTTGTAGGCACCTGATATATACTGTCCATTTATCTCAAGGAAGTACTGTATTATGTAACATTTAGTATCATCTGTACACCTAGCATGGTGGCAATATGAACATATCAGAATTTTACCACGGTTATCACTTCGATATTTATTTATTTTATTTATTTATTTTTTTTTATTTTTTTATATAATATAAGTATATACATACAGTAAGTTACAGTGGAATTGAAAAAATAAATATGATGAGGGAAGCAGTACAACATGAGTTGTATTAAGGTTGAACAAGAGGACAGAGCTGTCAGGATTGTCTAGTTGGCAAATACATTTTTTGCAATGGTAATTTCTATCTATCTACTGTACATGATAATTTCTGATAAAAACGGTTTTGATGGTGCAATAAAAGTAGGCATTACAAGAAATACTAATACTTTGACAACAGATATTTTTTAAGAGATGATTTAAAGGAAGGGAGCGTACTGTTTGCTCGGATGGGTGGGGGTAAGTTGTTCCACACCTTCACACCATGATATTTTATGGAGGTCTGGGACTGAGAGGAGCGCGTGGGGGGTGGTCTTAGTAGCTCTTGGTGCCTTAAGTTGTATCTCTGATTATTCCGGGACTGGAAATAATTGTTGTCAAGCAAGTGATTGATAGATTTGTAAAAAAAATAGGGCACAGCAGTAGGTGTTAATATCCTCGAATTTTAACATTTTCAATTTAGCAAATTGTTCGTTTGTGTGATCTGTCTTTTTCAAATAGGTCATTGTCCGCAGTAACGTCTTAAGTGTCTCCGTGTTGATTCTCCCGATCTAAGTTGGTCACTGAAGTTTACTGGTTGTGGTGCAGTCCAGGTAGGTCGTGTTATAAAACAAAATGTTGTTCTTTATGCTGTAGCACTTGTGTGGTTTATTCACATTTGTTTCGCTTAAAACAATGGACATTTATTTAAACTATAAGCCTTGTTCTTCCATAATGTGTCTTTGTGTTGCCACCTAACCGGGAAGGATTGAAATACCTGGCAAAGGATTTATGGCCGTAACTGTACACACACACACACACACACACATTATTACTAGGAAACTTAATATTGATTGTCATATTGCATAGTGTGAACTAAAGACTCACTAAACATCTGATCATTTTCTTACCGTCAGTAGAGACGTAAAGGTCGAAGGGTTGGGCCAGGACTCTGGTCTCTGGGAAGATGAGGTTGAGGAGGTGACATTCGTGTGGGAGGTTGTGGCCGAGGTTGAAGGCCTGGCAGCCGTGTTGTGTATTGCACCTCGACGCACACGGTACACGGGCGCTAGAAGTTGTCTGTTGAGAGTATTGTTAAGTCTCAGTTGTGTGTGGAAAATATAAATAATAATCTTTCTTTATCTGCAGTAGTTGTGACGTTCTCGTGTGATATAAAAGGAAGCTATACTATACTTTACCCCAGGTAGTGAGTACGAGGCGAGGATGTCTGAGGTAATTTGCACGTTGCTGCTGACTTTCTTGTATATCCTCGTGTTGTTGGTGGCCAGGGCAGGGGTGAGCACCGCCCACAACACACCCATCACCACCCACACCTCCACCATACCGCCTCCTGGCATCACACTGGTCACCAACGCTGCTGTTCCTGCTGGTAGACGAGGCTTTGCTTAAGGTTATATTACCCTTATGTAGACATTTTATTATCCTTTATTATCACTTTGTTAAATAGTAGAAAAGCCCAGATAGTTTGGGGGTGAAAGAGGAACATTATAATTACGTAATCGATCACCGGTCTGCATTTTAAGAAAAGTTGAATGATGTTTTAAAACTAAGACGTGATTCTGATTCGTTATTTTATCAAGGATTCAAAAATAAACTTTGTTTTGCTCTATCACGTCACACTTTATTACCAATATGACAAGATAATACAAATAAGACAATTCAGTAGGCTTCAAAGTTAACTAAACCTAAAGATTATTGTGATTAAGGCTATTTGTCTGCAATTACAGAAAGAAATTATATATATGAATATGTATGAACATAATATTGGGCTTCTAGGATGGGTGAAACTTTCTTTTTTTCAATTTTCTGTCAATCTTTTCACTGGCACAATCTCTCTTCAGCATCCAGCAGTAGTCTGCCATCATGTTCACATTCCACCTTCCTTGGTACCTCTTTTCCATTTCCTTTATATCCTGGTGAAATCTTTCACCTTACTCTTCACTTAAACTACATAAATTTTCAGGAAAATACTCAAGATGGGAATGTAAGATATGCATTTTTACACTCATATTGCAACCCATGTTTTTTGAGTTATTCAACCTACCTTCAACAATGTTTTGATAGTTTAGATCTTTTCTATTGCCTAAAAAACTATACACAACATTCTTGAAACTATTCCATGCTTCTTTCTCACACTGGCTCATCAATTCTTCAAATTGGTGGTCCAACATTAACGTTCGGATTTGAGGGCCCACGAAAATGCCTTCTTTGATTTTTAATATGTGAAGGAAATTCCCTGCATATGTATCGGAAACTTTCCTTATCTATGGCTTTTACAAATTGTTTCATTAACCCTAATTTAATATGCAGAGGAGCCAACAGTACTTTCTTAGGGTCAATTAATGGTTCATGTAGAATATTATTTAACCTGGCACAAGAGCCTGTCTCGGTGGCCAATGTTTTTTGTCCCAGTGTTCACGTCTTGCGCAAAATTCAAGCAGACCGGTGGAACAATGTCACGCATGATAGCGTGACGTTAATAATATGAATTTTATTAAATATTTCTGAAAATCAATGTTATACTATATGTATCAACACCTGATCTGGATGTACCAAGTGTTAGTAGCTTAAACCAGTCTACGAGGTTATTCACGATCCCATAAGAGGGTTTCACTAGGTGATTCCCAGTACTTATGATCCTTGACAGTAATAGTGTGTGTCAATATATTGCTTTATAATTCCATACTACCCCAGCGACACGCCTGGAAGGTCCTGGAATCATTTAATATCTATTTATTTCTTTTATTCGAGCGCTCAACATATCGTGATCTTTATTTCTTTGTCACAGGGTCCTGACAAAGGCTTCCTAGGACAAAAACCCTCAGTTAAAGTGCTAAATAGGTTAGGTTAGTTTAGGTTAGGTTAGGTATTGCAGTCTTATGATATTATAAATGTAATATTTATATGTCAGAGACGTGTTCATAAACTGTATATAACAAAGACAATACTGGAACAGGTGGCTAACACCAGGAGTTGTTCGATTTCGTTCATTTTAGAAAAAAAAAGCGTAAAATTTCAACAATACCTCGCTCCTTTTAAAGTACTAACTACAATTATAAGAACATCTGTGGAAAAATTAACGAAATTGAACAACGCCTTCTGGTGTTAGCTACCTCTTCCAGGATTACCATAATTAATAAAAATAATGATTAAAAAGATCTTATTATTATTTGTCTTAGGGGGCTTTTGTCCGGGGGTCTTTTGTCCTATGGGGCTTTTGACCTATGGGGTTTTTCTTCGGGGTCTTTTGTCCTAAGGGCTTTTATTCTATGGGGTTTTTGTCCGGGGTCTTTTGTCCTCGGGCCTTTTTTCTGGGGGCTTTTGTCTGGGATCGTTTGTCCGGGGGATTTTTGTCCTAAGGGCTTTTGTCTAGGAAGCTTTTGTCCGAAGGGGCTTTGGTCCTACACTCATATTCAATTACTCACATCTATACTGTACTATAATTACATCATTTATTTCTGATTATGTACCAACACAGTTACACACCTACCCAAAGCTCCCCAAATGAACAGTATGACTTCCCTCTACACACCTGTACAACACCAGAACAGGGATGTACAGGCCAGATAGGTTGGGACTCTACAGAATACGACGGGTCATACTGCTATACATCTACACGACTAATAATTGGTAGCAGCGGTGAAATGGACGAAAACACAAAAATGTCTTATTGTTGGTACACACACACTCCTGTATACTAGTTAATGAATATGTCCATGTATTAAAGTGGCACTGACCCTCTCCATTATCCAGAGATTTCAACCTCCTAAATAAAGGCTAGATTTACCACTGGTCTCGGGTCTCGGGTGGTATATATCTCGCCTTGAATCTCGTATAGTAGATCTTGGTCTCGGGTTCGGTCATAATCCGGTAGAGGGCACTTGTTATACCCACAAACCCATAAACGTTAAGTCTCTACTGTTTCTTTTTAGCGCAATGTCGATGAATCTCTTACGAAGGAGCGCACTGTGTAACACCCACGACTGTACTGGTAGAGAGGCGAAGAGCGCGGGGGGTCTTAAATCCTTGCTAAATGAAGCGTGAGAGATATATTGATTGCCTACATCTCTACATACTCACCCAGGATTGGCTTAGAGGCGGCTGTGAGCCCATCTGATTGGCTAACAGCTGTAGTATTGCCGCATTTATTGGCTGATAAGAAGAATGTTTACAGATAATTGACAGAGAATATTGTTATCTTTCTGATTCACTATTAGTTTTAATTATCTTTGACCAGGTATTTGCAAGCAGCATTAGTTTCATGATTTTCAGGAATAAAATGATAATCTTAATAATAATAATGATAATGATAGTAATGAAAGTAATAATAAAGTAAGAATAATAATGAAAGCAATAATAATAATAATAATAATAATAATAATAATAAATCAGTAAAATCATCATACCACTTTACAAATGGTATATTTGATTTTGCAGGTATATAGTTCAACAAGTGTATAGATAAAGCAGGTATATAGTGTATACAAGTGATCGTGGGCCCTTCGTGCCCGGTGGCGAGTCCGGTGGTACAGTTTACCGAGGCGTGAAAGTTTGAACGCTCGTGCTTGGCTAGAGCTCAACCACAGACCAGCTGACAGCGTACAGCGACATCGTCCAGCGTAAATAAAATGGTTAATTAATGCCTTCCTAAAGAAACCATCGACATGGGACCAGGTTTGTTCCACTCTACGAATTTTTTTGCGATTTTTCCACCAAGTTTGATGAAAAACGATTGTGCCGTTTCGGCTGCCCAGAACAGACAGACAGACGCCTAGTCCTATAGTATATTAGATAGACCGTAGAGGTACAGTATACAATGTACTATAGCTAGACAGTACAAGTGTAAACAACAATAGTAAACAGTAAGGGAATTTGACCAAGACAGCTGACAAAGTCACCTGATGGAGTAAATATGAAAGTTTGTTGATAAGTAAACAAGTATTACATTAGGTTTGGTTAATATTATACAGACACTTACCTAACTGTCTCTTCACCTGTTGTGTTTTAGTTTTAGCTTAAAGATGATGAGTTTCACAGTGAAGTTTTGTTCTTGTGATTGGTCGATGTGTTCTTGACTGTCTGAACTACACTTGTATACAGTATATTGTTTTTGCTGCAGCAGGAGATGGTGTGGTCCTATCTCTGGAACTGCTTGTGTCACCAATCGTTGCTCTGAGAAACTGACGCTTGTTTGAGGGAAATACCAGTTTTGTTCGTGTACTGTACTGAGTTGTGTGTGTTTCGCTGATTTGGTGTCGACTGTATCTTCTTCATTGTTATGTGTACAGTACATAGTTTAAACCTTTTTCATATTGTTTATCAACCGAAAAAAGAGGCATGGAAACGGAGCGCGCGCACACACCTAGTTATTATATATCATATTTGTATCACTTATGTGACTTGCATATTATTTGTAAATCAAGTGATCCATTCCCCAATTATGTACTAATTGTACTCGCTAACCAGCACAATATCCAGTGCCAGATTTAGACCTGTGGAGGCCCATGGGCAGTAGGGGGCAGGGAAAAAACACTTTTATTTGAGTTGCAGGCTGCACTTTTCAGGCATCGTTTGTATGGCTGTAACAAACACCTGTGCAAAATTTCATGCCATTTCATGCATACCTACCCTGCCGCATCGCGAACGACTTTTTGTCAACTTTTAGTGTATACCAAAAATTAGGTGTCATTTAATGTTTTCCAGGATAATGATAAATTTTACATGGGTGACATCGATTTAATTCACATGTTATTTTACAGGTACACCGTATAGAAAATCATTACAAGTTCATATTGAAATTCTTTTTTGTGCGGAACCTTGGCATCATTTTCCTAGACAATAATCTTTGCGTAATATATCCATCTCTCGATTCGTATCCCGTCACTTCAGTGCAAGCTTCAGTCATCACTTTTATGCCTCTCTCGACCGCCTGAGTGCTGTTTGGCCACTTGGGCACCACTAATGGTGTCTCAAGAATGTCATTAACCTGTAGATTTGACAGAGAAGCAATGTAAGGAGGCTCAGTCTTGAGTTCATTCCTCCAGTTAATCATGGAATGATAGTTTTTTGCTTGCCACTTTAGTTTCGGAGTCACCACCTTTCTCATGTTGACTACAGGAGGCACATCCTCATTCCCATCTCCATCTTTACCCTCCTCATCAGTATAGTTTAACAAATTCTCTTCAACAGCAGCATCAGAATCTTCCTCCTCCTCTTCAGATCTGCCAGTGCATTCTTCCTTTTGCTGATTCTCCTCTCTAATTTTTCTTATCATTGAGACAGCTTTTTCTCTAACAGTCATGTCCTCATCTGCACACATACCAAGAAGAAGTTGATCTGTGTGGGCGAAGTATGCATTTCTCTGGACAGCCTTCTTCACTATCG